AGGCTCACCACCCATTTATCCCTCCGCCTTTCAATTAGCCCCACATGTGATTATCGGCCAGGTTGGCACAATTAACTAACTCAACTGGTAACTTGGAAAGCGCACAGGGGAAAGCAGTCTGCTCTCAATATTGTTTAAAGAGCTTCATGTATTTACGGAGATCGCTTTACTTTAAATAGGAAAATTCAAACTACGTACTGAAAGGCATGTAGGATATGGCTTAATGTTCCTATATCCATCTATCCATAGGAGCTTCAGGATGGAAAAATACAGAACATAGGGGTGGAAGATAATATTTGAAGAGCTAATGGATGAGAATTTTCCAGATTTGGAGGGGGGTGCTAGTCTTGGGTTGAGAAAGCACCCAGAACTAGTCAAAACAAATACATACTTAAACATGAATAAAACCACAGAATGTCGAGTAGAAAGAGAATGTTTTAAAAGATACTAACTCTCACTGCCAGCAAGTCAACGGCAACTCACAGTGACCCTGAAGTTCAGGGTAGAACTGCCCTTATATCGGGTTCCTGAACCTGTGACATTTTATGAGAGTAGAAAGCCTCCTCTTTCTCCGGTGGAGCAGCTGTTGGTTTCGAACTGGTAACTGTGTGGTTAACAGCCCAGCTCATAACCACTGCGCCACCAGGGCTCTTTTAAAAAAGATAGTGGCGTCCAATTATCTTCAAAGAAATCTCTATTAGCAATCAGCGTTCCTATTGCCAGAAGACAACAAGAAATCTTTTAAAGGATAAGAGTGGGGTGGGCGGGGAAGGTAAATCTGCAATTCTATATTCAGCAGACATATCTGAGACTGGAGACAAAGGAATGATATTTCGGGGGGGGCATTAAGAGTTAAGTAAACACACATCTTTCTGGGGGGAAAATGACTGAGAGATTACTTCTGAAAAATGAAAGGAGAGATGGAATTGCAAGCAGCAATCGTGTCTGCAGCCAATTAAGCCAAACGTCCTCTTCCCGGGGAGGCCGGTGTTCAGTGGCTGCAAAGAGCAGCCTCCTCCGCAGCGTATGCAGTCTGTTGGCAAGTGTTGGTTGCCCGATGGGATGTTGGAGACAGCCCTTTCCTGTTCTTTGATGGCTCTGACTGCTGGTTTTGGCTGTCCCTAACCTAGCCTCCAAACTGGAACGTGTGGTGCTTTAGGAAAACCCAAGGCATGAGGGCCAGGGTCCACGTCAGCCAAGTCATCATGTCCATCCGCTTCCAAACCAGGAACATGTGATCGAGGCCTTTCACAGGGCCAAGTTCAAGATCTCTGGGCACCAGAAGAGACTCCTCTCCAAGAAGTGGGGCGTCATCAACTTTAATGCTGATGAGCTTAAAGACATGATGGCTGAGAAAGGCCTCATCCCAGATAATTGTGGAATCAAATACATCTCCAGTTGTGGCAGTGGCGGTGGACAAGTGGCGAGCCCTGCATTCATGAAGGCCTTGGTAGCCGCATGCCCTGCTTGACCTATGCCCTCCAATAAATTTAATTTTCTGACCCCAAAAAAGAAGCAATTGTGTGTAAACAAGAAATATAAGCGTATTGGTAAACATCTAAATAGAGATTCTTAAATAATGATGACTTAAAAAACTATTAGTATAGGGCATATAGAAAATAGCACATAGGCGTGACACAGTGTAAGGCATGGGTTATGCATGTAAAATGTATGGTACGTACTACGTAACAGCAGGGAGCCATGATGGCATAGTGGTTACTCATGGGACTGCTCACTGCAAGGTCAGCAGTTTGAAACCCAAGCGACTCCCTGGGAGAAAGACAAAGCTTTCGATTCCTGGGAAGAGTTACAGTCTCAGAGCCTCACAGTGCGGTTGTACCCTGTTCTATCAGTGGCTTTGAGTAGGTATTAACTTGATGGCAGGGAGTGAGTTTTGTAACAGAAAAGCCCAATCTAAGAGGGGTTTAAACAAGATAGGGCGTTCTCTCTTCTCGGACTGAATGCATGCTCCTCGCTGACAAGAGGAGCCCTGGTGGCGATGTGGGTTATGCAATGGGCCGCTAACCACCAGGGCAGCAGGTTGAAACCAACAGCTATTCCATGGAAACAAGAAGAGGCTTTCTCCTGCCCGAAAGAGTGAGCGCCTCAGAAGCCCACAAGAGCAGTTCTACCCTGTCCTGTAGGGTAGCTAGGAGTCAGATGAGTTTGATGATTTTTAGGGTTCGTTCATTGGTTGGTTGGTTGACTAACTGGCAGACCAGGACCATTTGGTGATGCCTCAGTCCTCTGACCCACCCCTCATTCTGCCATGCCTAAAATGTCCCCTCAGCTCCATGTTCCAACAGGGCTGTGGCTGCTAGAGTCCCACTGATCGCACAGGGAGACTTTATCCCTAGTTGGGGCTTCCACCCAGCCTTCTTTGGTGAGTTGAACTGGACCATGCGTGAGACCAGTGCTACCATTGCTAAGTGTCATTTAGTTGATCTTGGGTGAATAGCAGCCTGGCGTGACAGAGTACAATGCCTCACACGTTTTCTTGTCTATAATCTTTGGGGGAAGGGGTCACCAGGTATTTCTCCCATGGAGGCACTGGTGGGTCCAAACTGCCGACTGTCCGTTAGCAGCTGACTGCCTAACCATTGAGCTACCAGGCAGGCCTCATGTCTATTATGATCGATCACTCACTGCCATCCAGTCAATTCTGACTCATAGTGACCCCAGAGGAAACAGAGTAGCCCTGCCCTGTGGGTCCCTGAGACTGTAACTCTTTAGAGGAGTAGAAAGCCTCATCTTTCTCCTGCGAAGCGGCTGGTGGATTCGAACGGCCAACTTTGCAGTTAGCAACCCACTATGCCACCAGGACTCCTAGAGGCTTAATGTCTAGACTGGGACAAAAGAGAGCAATGGGCTCCTTGTCCTCTTTCCACACGGCTTCCCTGACTAAATGGGGAAACAGAGACACGTTGGGAGGGGTGGGAAACAAAAAGATCAGATCCTAGTCAGGGGCCCACGAAACATCCTTGGTCATGTTCAGCCCTCAGGGAAAGCGTGAGGAGGGACGGAAATCCCCTCTCCCGCCCCTCGGTGCTTTAAATATGCCTTTCAGCAGCGCTCACATGGCTTCTTAGCGATGGAGTTTGGATCTGAACCAGGGGTGCCTGACTCCATGGCCTATGTTCTTTCTGTTGTGTCGCCTCATCCCGTCTCTACAAACAACAACAACATTAACCTCCCAGTAGTTTTTCAAACAAATACATTGGGTCCAGGAGGTTAAGTGGCACAGATGTTTCTAAAACTGAGGAGTTGCGAGCCGTCAGCCACCGCGGCACTTGGTGAGAGTCAGCAAGACGGAGGGAGCTACGGGGGCTGACAGACAAGATGACCTCATGGTGAGTCATGCTTGGGCCTCCTTGGGGTGATGAGAAGAGAGGAACAAGGGTCTTTCGAAGCTGCGGGTGTCTGCATTTTCCCATTAACTGTGTCCTGCCTACTAGCCCCAGACAGTGGCCAATTCTCCAGCCGTTCACTCCAGAAGGGGATGGGCCCCTTGCTTTCTACTCCCAAGGCCTTCCCATCGCTGACCCCCACAGGTTTCCCCGGTCACATCTTCCCCGCAAGGACACTTCAGCACTCAGGAGTCCCTGGGGTGATGCAAGCAGCCAGTGTTTGAGTCCATCCGGAGGCAGCTCAGGAGAAAGGCCTAGTGCTCTACTTCCCCCTGAAAACCTCACCCCTGACAACTGCATGGGGCACAGGTCCACTCCCACATACACGGTTGCCCCAAGAGTCAGAAAGAGCTCAACGGCCGTCGGTGCGCTGGTCATCAGTAAAGCCACCCTTCGTGTTTTGTAGCTCTATCCCCCTCTGCCCTGCTATACTCCTACTACAATGTATAGCTTTCTCACGGAGTTCTTATGAGCCAGCAGGTCTGCTTCTGATGGTCAGATGGGGCACCAGAAGGGGGGTTGGAAAGGGTGTACCCCGCACAGGCACGACTCAGTTTGACTCCTGGCAGTGGAATGGTGGGATGCAGTGTTTGATCTTTATGGGAGGAGAAAGCTTCATCTTTCTCCTGAAGAACGGCTGGTGGTTCAAACCACTCACCTTTCCGTTCAGGGTCCAATGCTTATCAACAGGACCGCTTAACTCCGCAAGGCGACCTCATGAGCATCAGGATAGAACCGTGCTTCATAAAGTGTTCTTTTCTCTTCTTTTTTCATAAGGTTTTCAATGACTGATGTTCTAAAGTAGATCACCCGGTCCTTCTTGTAAGATGCCCTTGGAAGGACTTGCCCTATCTACCTTGTACTATCTACCGAGCACTCTAACCACACGTATTACGTGGGCACTCCAACTCAAACCAAGGGGGAGGGGGGGGTTGAAAGATAATTTGGCTCTTTTTGAGATCTCGATAGCAAGGTCTTACCTGCAGGCACAGCAGTGGGATCTGAGAAGCCATGAACTTGAGACGGGAAGAACTGAGACTGAAGATGGATGACAAAACCAAACTGAAACATTGTAACCCTTGCTCTTCCTGAGCTCAGGGCGCCTAATGAAAGGAACGAGAACCGGCTTTGCTGTCAGACAGACAGACAGACAGACAGACAGACAGACATTTAAATGTCGCTTTGTCTCTGTGTCCCTTAATGGATTTGGGCTAGTCTGTCTACCTAATCCACATGTCATCTAGCAAGGCTGTCTATCTAAGTAAGCGACATATCATACACACCAAATAAACAAGAGGAGTTAGATGATTAAGGATCGAATTTCCTCAGCCTCCAGGGTGACGAAGAGGCAGGGTGCCCATCCTTGGGGACCTTACGGATGTCCTCTGAGATTCCTGGTGGGGGGGGGTAGGGTGGGTGTCAAAATAGAAATCTCAGACTTGCACCCTTGGGTATTTATTTGGAGAGAAAAGGCCTGTCTCTTTGGAACCCAAGAGGGTCACTCTGGTCCCCAGTGGGCTCCCTCTGGGGGCACACGCCGAGGCAGGTCTCTCTCGCACTCCACCCCACCTCTTTCGGGCACCCTTTCTCAGTGTACCTGAAATTACTCCCAGCATCCACTCGGTCATTCACGGACAAGGAACACAAACAAAGATGCCAAGCCCCTCGGGCCGAGGGCCGCCTTCCTCCTCCCCCAGTCCAGCCCTGGTCCCAGGCTTGCCCTCTCCTTGGCGGAGGGCTTATTATTTCCCCCAGGTTGTCACAAACCAGTCTCCTAAACGGCATGAAAACAGAAAACAAACAGAAAAAACCAGACCCACCCAAGCTCGCGTCTCAAGACAGCTTGGCAGGCACGAGCAATGTGCTAACAATTTCATGCTGTTTTAAGAGTTACTAACTAAGCAACATGTACCAACAACCAGATGTGCCCTGATACCGGGAGAAGAGAACATGGCCTTCGAGGGACAGACAGATTCGTAAAACAGGAAAACACTCATCAGGAAATGTAGCTTCCAAGTGGGGTGGGCTGAGCTTCGGGAGGGAGGCGGCCCCCATCTGCCTGGACGGGCAGATTCATTCACGAAACCGTTCATTCAGTTATGCGGCAGATACTCGGGCCAGGGCCTTCTCACGCCATGCCAGCCTCTGTGCTGGGTACTTGGGGAACCCTGCAGGAGAAGGGCAAGGGCACGCAGCAGTGACCACACGAGGCCTCCTGTTATAAAATGGAAGCGATTAGTAGGAGGCCGGGAGAAGGGGGGTCCCACTTGGGCTATGTGAGAATCAGGGTGCTTCTCAGTAGCTCTCTGATTCCATTGAGCTCCACAAATGTCCACAGGGCCCGCGTGATGAAACCCCCAAGGGGCACAAGGGGCACTTCATGTGCTGGGCTGCTAACTGAAAGATCGGTGGTTCAAGTCCACTCAGAGTCTGAGGGTCCCAAGAGCACAGTTCTCCTCTGACACACAGGGGGCTGCCATGAGTCACGGCCTACTTAACAACTGGCCTGTTGAATGCCACCGGGTCACAGGAGGAGATCGTCCAACATACTCCTGTTTTCAGGGAACACGGCGTCCAGCAGGGAAAGAGGTGGACATGAGGTAATAGCAGCAGACAACACGTACAACAGTCCCCGAGTTCTTGAATGCTTCCTCCCCATCCATCCACCCT